TGCCGCTCTGCTTAACGTTCATTGATTTAAAGAAGGCCTTTGATTCTGTTGAGACGGAAGCGGTCATTGAAGCCCTAGCCAATCAGGGCATTCAAGCCCAATACATCAGGATCCTCCATGAGCTGTATTGCGGATTCACTACCAGGATCTCACCATTCTACAAAGAAGTGATCGTTGATGTCAAGAGAGGGGTGCGGCAGGGTGATACCATTTCACCGAAACTCTTCAGTGCCACCCTCGAGAACATCATGCAACGACTGGAATGGGAAGCAATGGGAATGAAGATAGATGGTCGACAACTACACCACCTCCGCTTTGCTGATGACATTTAATAACAAAAATTAAATACCTTTATGTTGTATATATTAAGGTATTTAATTTTTGTTCAACTATTGGGTTTATATCCCATCTAGAAAAAAATGTGTTAGGTCATAAGACAAAAGAAAGGAAAATAACTTTTGATATGCGCATTGTTATCTTGTTTTCTCTACCCTCCTTCATCTGAAAAATGTTTTGGGGACCCTAAGAGATAATACAGATAGCTTGCCTTGCAAAAGGATAACTGGGTTTTGAGCCCAGGTACCCATCATGTTCCCAGAGCACCAATAGAAGTGATCCTTGAATGCACAGTCAAGGTGTAATTAAAAAAAAAAGTCATCTATCTGATTTGTCTTTTAGCATACAACTGTGAAACCCAATAAACTATTTTAATAAACCATAATATTAATGGTAATATTAAATTAGAATGAGAACTCACACCCTTACATAAGTAGGGTCTGTGCCCTTTTGCCAGCATAAAAGAAAAATTACATAAGATAAATTTTAAGGATTTAAGGGGGTGAAATCTCTACTGGGGGAATGTTGTAGGCAGATGGTGAAACCTGGTATGAGATTTTGGGAAATAATATTTATAAAGTTATTGCTACACCCTGAAGTAGCCCAGAGGCATGGAGACCACACCCTTTTGAAATTCAAATCCTGATTTCTTTGGAAATGCAGAAACTGTGTTCAAAACTGAGCTTCTGCCCAAAGAAGGATAGGCTTCAGTATGGGAGAAGAGAGAGAAATATCTAAAGGTCCTAAAAAGAATATGTAGAGCCAGGAGTAAGCCCTGAGCATACCCAGGTGTGGCCCCCAGAAACAAAATATAAAATTCAGTTCCTTTTTCAAAGAATACAAAAAAACTATTAAACTGTATAAGGGTTTCCCTTGTGACAAAATCTGCATTATGGAAAATTTAAGGCAACGATTCTTGGAGGAATTGTTTATAATTGCTTCCCAAATGCCATTCCAAACTTTTTTCAAGCCCACATTCTATCATGAATACATATGCCTTTTTTTCTCTCCTCAGCTTTTTTTATTCTGGAAAAAAAACATTTTTTTTGAACATGTATCTCCCCTCTCAAAAATTATTTTACATATACAGGAAACCTAGGAGAAGTCGAAGAGAAAAAGACAGGGGATAAATACCTTGTTTTATACCCAGTCAACAATTTTCCATCATTGGTACCACATATACTTCCCTGAGGCTCCCCAGGAGTGATCCCTCAGTATCATAAAGCCAGGAATAAGTTCTGATTATAACTGGGTGTGGCCCCCAAACAGGCAAATCGATAGTTTAGGGGAAAAACAACTTCAATGTACATAAGAAGCCTCATTCTATGTCATAGGTAACTCTTGCTTCTGCAGTGACAGATTACATTCTGTAGTCCACACATAAGCTATAAACTCATTGACATTGCTCTAACTTTGGAAAGCAAGCAAGCATTTGTTAGACAAAACTGAATGGACGTATTTCCTTCTTTCTGTCAATAGCTTGTATAATAATCTATTACCTGAAATCACACTGCACAATTACGAGTAGGAATATAAGAGAGACTTCAATTGCATCTTCTCCACCTACTCTATTATGCATGCTTTGATGAGTTTTAATGAAAACAGAGCCTGCTGCCAAAGGAGTGAGAAACAGAGAATCATTATAGGGAAAGTGATAAGATATGGAGACTTGTAAGGTGATTTGCAAATGGATTATGAGCTATTTCTGAATAGAAAACAAATTTTGCCTTAGAGATGTGACTTTACATTCCTTGCAAAGTCCTTGTAATGTCTGATGATTGCTGTACAGATCTGATACATGAAATTGGCATTGCATCCACCAGGATAGGAAATAATTATGCTTTTGCAACTGATTCTAGACAAACAATTTTATATGTCAATATACAATTACACTATATACAGAGAAAAGTATGTAGCTAGGAAACATTTTTGAATATGTTGACAAAATATGCTGTTAACATTAAATATAGTAAAGTGTAAACTGAGTAGAATGAACTTAAATGTCAAGTTCTAAGGAAAATTTTGTCTGAGAGCCTCACTCTTATAATTCTGTTTTTTTATTACTGAAATTTTCCTTTCAGAAATGCTCCCTCCAGGCTCCTAGATCCTCTGAATACTATGGCATATGCAGAAGGTTAAAGATTTCCTTGGCAGAAAGTAATACATATATTTTATAACTAGAGTGACTACATCATCTGTCATAAGACAGCAGAGGGAATGAGACAGAAGTACAACCTGATATTCAGTTACTCTGTTTCCTGAAAATCTATTTTGGGAGGGTTAAGAAATTTTCATATTTATTACAATCCTGGCATTTATCTTGAAACCTAGGCATTTTACATTTCACATCTTTATTTAACAGATAAGAAAATCATAATCCAGAAAATTTCACTGACTTTATATATGCATATAAATATACATATATGTATATACACATATATACGTATGTGTATATATGCATACATAGCATGTATATGTATGAATATATACACATATATGCATATGTAAAGCTATTGCTTTCCTATGTATCTACATTAAACTTTATCTGTATGTACGTATCTCTGTCCATATATCCATATCTTTTTCTATGTGTATATGTCATATATGAAGTAGGAATGAAAGAAATGGACAGATACATGTGTCACATGGATTAACTTACTCCTTGCCTATAGAAATGGAGCTATATTACCCCAGGGTTCATTACAAAACAGCTGGTATTCAAATTTACTAAACCTGTCCACTTTGGGACACCCTCTGGAAAGTAGACTTCTTGAGCAAAGCTTCATCTTTTAGGTTGAATTTCAAAGGATCTCTCAGGGAATTCTAAATGAGGAAGGCCTATGAGAGCTCAGCCCTACATCCTTATTTTAGAGATGTGCAACTAGGCCAAGGGTGCTCAGTTGACTGGCACAGAGTATAGAAAGAAAACCCAGGCCTATGCCTCTCATCATTGTATCTCGCCCGCACGGCAGAGCCTGGCAAGCTACCCGTGACGTATTCGATATGCCAAACACAGTAACAACAAGTCTCATGATGAAGACGTTACTGGGCCCGCTCGAGCAAATCGACGATCAACAGGAGGGCCTTTACCTTTTACCTTATTATCCAGAAATACTACTGAAACCTTTAGAGAATTTTATGTTTAAACAGCTCCATTTGAAAGAGAACAAGTTTTCTTCCTACCTCTCCCCCTCTTCTTCCTGCTCATTCTTTCTGTTCTTCCCTCCCTCCTTTCTTCCTGGACAGTTTTGCCATGCTCTTTTGAGTGTAAAAGTCTCAATTACATTTAAGGATTTTCAATGTTTGCAAGTATAAAACTATGTATTTGACTGTTCTATTTGTGTATATTTAAATGCTTTTTTAGTTAAACAGGAAAATTAAATTAATAACCTACACAAGTTTACTTTTATTTCGATATTGTGTGGTGTATCTGCATAATTTGTGACTGCATGTGACGAAAAGAAAATTTATATTGAAAAGAAATGTTTGATCATGCAAAACCAAGCTTATCAACATTGAAACAAAATTCAGAGGCCCTCTTTCCTTCAGGATTTAGGATCAATGAAACAACCATATTTAAATTCAAGTACACATTTGTCTTTTGTCATTCCTGGAAATAATGAAAGACAGAAAGCTGAGACAAATCTTTCTCAACACAGGCAGAAAATAGCATATAAATGTGTTTGATCAATCAGTAGTATCATTTTGAGTCCTTGTACATACATTTTTTTAAGATTTAAATTTTCATAATATATGTAATATACATATTAATGTGAAAATGTATTTTAACATTATTGGTCTGGTTTATTTTTATACAGTAACATTAAAATTCATAATTTAAGGGACTAGGCCAACAAAATAGATAGTAAGGTGTCTGCCTTGCCAATAGCTAACCTAGAATCAACCCCTGGCATCCCATATGGTCCCAGCTCCCTGTTAGGAGTGATCCCTGAGCAGAGTCAGGAAAGGTCCCTGAGTACTGCTGCATGTGCTTCCCTTAAAGAAAAAAATCACTATTAAAAAAAGAAATACATTAAAAAATGCATAATCAGAAAAGGTATTTTGAACAGTAGTAGGTAAAGTAGAAACAGTTGATTGACTACGTTTGCTGGATATCTGGATATGTCCTGGAAACGTGATGGGGCTGTTGCTCCAAAATATCTAATCGTGTCTAATCTGGGCAACGCTAGGTTGATGGAACTAGGATCTCATTTTGCTGGTGAACAATTAAGGTTAGACAAAATACAGGATCCCCTCAGTCTTTAGCAATAAACATGAGTCAACAGAGACCACTTCCAGACTCAGGATTTGCCTATTAATTCCAAGGGTTTATATTGCTGTTATGATTGTTACATTTCTTTTTGTTTATTTATTTATAACTGAATGTTTTCCATTTCTTTGTTTTTGAATTTTAAAAGAGAAAAATGTCCTTGGTATGCCCTGTAGAAAATGTCTGATAATGCTTATTTCACTGGAACATTATCAGACTATTAATTTTCACTCTCTCACGAAAACAACATATCTGCTAATTCTCATTACTTATGTAATACAAACCCCAAGATTTTTAGGCTGTTGTTTTCATAAGCATCCCTTTCCAGTGGATTTTCCTTTATTTGTAGCATTACGAGTCTGGATCAGTATGAGTGGGGATTCTGCACACTTACCCGTGATATTGCAGTAAACCTGGAGGGGCTCCACTGCCCCACTGCCATCAGTGTCAATGTAGAAGAAACCCGCTGTGTTCCCTTGGTGCCTGTACACTTCGCAGGATCGCTCATACAGGGCTGAAAGCACAAAGAAACAGAAAGGAAATGTTACTTGTAATGTATGTCGTTCTGGAGAGCTCAGAAACTTCTAAGTATACTTACTAATAGTAATGATATTTTCCTCTTCTCCAGTATCTAAACTCTTTGAGATATTAAATAAAACAGTGTCCCTGTGTCCCAATTTTTTATAGTGCAGTATAATCCATTCATGCTAACTCACTCATTCTTCAAGACTTAGTTCATCACTTCTTAAACGGTATCACCAAGTCTCTCCCTCACTTAGTAACAAAAGACATCTATAACTATGCATTTTTTTTTGTTTTACTCTCTTTGTCTTAAATTGGATCACCATGAGATACAGAGTTACAAAGCTGTTCATAGAGGGTTTCATCTGTACAGTGCTCAAAAAGATATCACTCCATCAGTGTACATTTCCCACCACCAATGTTCCCAGTTTCCCTCCTGCCAGCCTGTCTCTATGGCATGCACTCTTCTGTCTGTCTCTCTCTCTTACTATCTCTCTGCCTCTATCTCTCTCCATCTATCCCTCTCTCTTGTTCCTCATCCAGTAGTGCACAGAGCTTACTCCTGGCTCTGTATCAGCATCACTCCAGCTGTGCTTGGGGAACAATATAGGGTGCCAGGGATAAAACATATGTCAGTCACATGCAAGGCAAGCTCCCAGACCATTGCACCATTTCTCCGGCCCCCACTTATTTCTTAGAAAGACTTTCTCTATGTGGATGTTCCTCCTCTATGCCTACCCAGTGTATTGTTCTAGGATCTTCAACACACTGTTTGCTTAAACCAAAGGAATATAGGCTTTATAAGAATGTAAAAGTTGACCTTGTGTTCCAGTAACTAGATATGTGTTGAACACACACACACACACACACACACACATACACACATGAAGTCCAATAAATGTCACACATGAAAGCCCAATTGAATGTATGCTGTTCAGGTTTTTATTAAAAAGTAACAACAACAACAACAACAAAAACACACAAAGCAAAGTAAAGCAAAACAAAACAAAAAATTCTTAGAAATCTGAAAACCTCATTCTTTTTTATGTACTCAGAGACAGACAAAGATGCCCTAACATAGGATACTCTCACCAATCTGCAGGTTTGAGAAATATATAAATCTCATTAAAGCAACATGAATAAATTCAATGGCTTATAAAGAAGGCATCTAATGTCTCATGCATGAGAATGTAAAAACTCATTTGACACTTCAGACAAAATACTTTAGCTCAGAGAAGCAGGTACACAGGCAATTGTGTCATCCTTCCATGGCTCTAACACTTCAGTGGTCCCTAACAATTTTAAGATAGAGCACCAACTCTTCACTTTTGCCAACATGACCCTATGACTAATGTCCTATCCCAAGAATATGAACCTGCAGTTTGTCATGATCAAATGTGAGAGGTGACTCAAATAATTCATTACCAATAAAGTTCTACAGCTTGAGAAGGTTTGACTTTTCATAAATTAGAGTGAATTCAAGGTTATCCTTATCCTCAGTAATTCTCCCTGGCAGTCACACATCTTTCCTGAAGCAGAAAGTCCATGGCAGGACTGCAGCTTGCATCCTTCATAATGACCAAAGCATAGAGCTTATTTTTGTTTGTTCAAACAGAATTACACACATTTATATGTGTCACACACATGAACATCACTCTGAAAATGTGTGTTACTTTCATTTCAATCATTTCCACTCTCCAAAGATAACAACCCACAGGAAGAAACTGCAGCTGTCCATTCAGATAAACACCACTCAGGTAGCATTATGGAGGGTGCATAGGAGTTAAGAACATGAGTCCTGGAATCAAACACTCTGGTTTTGCATTAGAGGGCAAATGACTGCTACTTATGATTGACATCACTTGGTAATTTGTTCATAACTTTAGATGCTCTCTTTGACTTGAGTTGCTTCTAATAGGCAGAAGTAGTGAAGCAGTTGACAAGATATTACAAAGAGTCAGTGAGTTTAATCTGTCCACTTCCTGGATAATTTATTCTCAGCAATTTATGAGCTACTGGGGGAGTTTCTTAGGTGTGCCACGTGAATGAGCTATGATACAGATCTCCAAGTAAACACTAAAATGACTGTGTCCTTGGCTGACTTCTTAATGTTGGTCTTATGGAAGACTGAGCCAAAACTGTTTCACAAATCTGCTTGAGAATTCAAAGAAATCATGAAATGATAATGATTGTTGCTTTCAAATGCTAAGTTTTACTTCTATTTCATTATGGAGTAACAGAAAACTAACTCCCAATATCTGTTTCTTCATTTGATTACAGATATAAAGAGAAGCTGCCTCACAACTTCTAGTTAATAACAACTTGTATTTAATAACACAACGGATAGTTAATAAATACTTGCTTCACAACTTGTAGATAATTTACATATAGCACCTAGTATAGTGATAGCGCACACAAATATTTGATAAATATAATTATTATCATTATTATGACTCATAACATTATCACATTTTTATTCCATGGTGTCACCTCCTTTTAAGCTTTTTATTTTTAGATTTAATTATGAACCACAACATATGTTATGGAAGAAACAAATAGTGTGATATGATCAATGTGCAATATAATATACCTCCTAAACTTGACAATGCAATAACTTTTAATTCTCAGATTATTTTTCTAGTATTGACTATTGTAACTCTAAATATCACATGTATATTAAACTTTTTAAATTTTTATCTCTGCTGGTTATATTTTCATTTATCATATTAGAAAGATTTAGCTTTATCATAACACTTCAAGTACAAAGAGTATTTTCATTTCCACATACTTTAATACATTATGTGCCTACTTCTCTGTGCATGTCACAAATTAACTAAAAGTAGACTAGCACCTCTAAAGGTACTTCACAAAACATTGATTTGCAAATTAATAAAAATGAATGTCTAAGTGGAGATGTAGAATCAGTAGGGAAGAAGAAATAGTGATAAAAGCCAAAACTTCCTGAAAATTCTATAACTTGGAAAAAAACATAAAAATTTTAAATAAAACAAAAAATAAACAAAGTAGGAAATATAATTTATCAATAACAAATAAAAATTAAATAATTAGGATTCAACTTTAGTTACTTTATTGATATAACATTGAATGTAAAATGACTCAAGTGACAATATCAAAGGGAAATGTTTTCAAATCATCATTTGATCACTTGACTTCCTGTTAATCGTCAATTTGTTCAAGCGGGTGCCAGTAACGTCTCCATTTGTCCCTGTTGAGTGCTAGTGTAGCTCAATGGCGTCTGTTCGCTCTAGGAACACGAAGTGCCTCAAACCGATCGTTCATGATCTTGATGAAGAAGTCTGACCATCTGGTAGGTGAGCGGTCATGCTGTCTTTTGACATCCTATGGAATCCAGTCAGTAACAGCTCTAGTCCAGTGGTCATCTCTAAATCTCATTACGTGACCAGCCCATCTGATTTTTGACACCTTGGCAAACGAGACAGCGTCCCTGATTCTTGTCGTCAACAGAGGTCGGAACTCCGGATTCTTTCTCTCATTTGAGTGAAACGTGATATTCCAAGCATAGCTCTTTCTATTCCTCTTTGGGAGACCCAAATAGCATTCTCATCCTGTTGCATAGGGCCCAGGTCTCTGAGGCGTATGTTAATGCAGGAAGAACAGTGGAATCAAAGAGATGTGCCCGGAGCCGGAGGTTCTTCGTTCTCTTAGCTATTTCTTTGATGCTCTTGAAGTTGTTCCAAGCCACTCTCTTTCTCCTGCACAGCTCGGGTGCCAGGTCATTTGTCATGTTGACTTCTCGACCTAGGTACACATAGCTGTTGCATTCGAAGTTGGTCCTTCCGTTGAGAGTGAATGGAACGTCAGGAATGAGGCTGTTTCTCATGAACATTTCTTCGTAAGATTCAGCTGTAGTCCGACTTCTCCACACTCATGGTCGAAGTCGGCCAGCATTTGTGCCACTTGGCTAATGTTTGGTGTTATTAAAACAATGTTATCAGCAAAGCAGAGGTTGTGTAGTTGCCGATCATCTATCTTCACTCCCATTCCTTCCCATTCCAGTCGTTGCATGATGTTCTCGAGGGTGGTACTGAAGAGTTTCAGTGAAATGGTATCACCCTGCCGAACCCCTCTCTTGACATGGATGATTACTTCTTTGTAAAATGGTGAGATCCTGCTAGTGAATCCATAATACAGCTCATGGAAGATCTTGATGTATTGAGTTTGAATGCCCTGATTGGCTAGGGCTTCACTGACCGCTTCCGTCTTAACAGAATCAAAGGCCTTCTTCAAATCAATGAACGTTAAACAGAGCGGCATCTTGAACTCCCGAGAAACCTCAATGAGCTTGGTTATCGTGTGGATATGGTCGATGGTGCTGAATCCTTTTTGGAATCCAGCTTGCTCGCGTGGTTGTCCTTCATCTAGTGTTCTGCCAATCCTATTCAGGATGACTCGAGTGAACAACTTGTAGATGATAGACAATAGGCAGATTGGGCGATAGTTGCCAATGTCATGGATGTCTCCCTTCTTGAACAGTAGTAAGGTCCTGCTGGTTTTCCACTGGGATGGAAACTTGCATTCAGACAAGTAGCGTGTGAAGAGCCGAGCCAGCGTATTGATGAGTACTGACGGCAGGTTCTTCAGGTGTTCAGGTCCAACCTTGTCTGGGCCGGGTGCTGTTCATTTCTTTACTGATGAAATGGCGTGTTGGATTTCGGAAGGGAGAACGTTGGGTACGACATATCCGTCCTGTGGAATTTGATATGTAGGCAGATGGACATGGCTAAAGAAGAGATTTGAGTAGAAGTCATGAATAATCTTCTCCATTGTCATTCTGGAGGATGTGATAGATTCATCAGGACGTCGGAGGGCAGTCATCTTGGTCTTGTAGTTGGCGAAGGACAGGCGGGCATTACAAATACTTTTCCCGGCTTCTGCCGCATCTACCAGCACTTCTGCTCTTCTCTCTTTTTAGGTCTTCCTTGATCGCATCTCTGCATTGCTTTGCGAGCT